TCCTATACCCTCCTCGCCATTGATTTTGGAACACTTATTCCCTTGTCCCTGGGTTTGTTAACACCTACTTCCTTTCCCCCACTTTCCCCTCACCCATGTCTCCCAGGATAGGTCTATTTTTGGTATTCTCTCGAGACTTCCTTGCTCTGTTCCCCTTGCTGTTCTGTTGCACGCCCTTAGTGTTTTGCCTCTGTGTGGTGGGGTCAGATCAGACGGAATTCCCGCACTGTGTCTCCAGTGTTGTCCCTTGTAGGGCTATGGGTCAGTGAGGAAAATCATGTCTCATAGTGGGGCCAGCCATATGGTCCTCTCTGTACATTAGCTGCTCTGAGGAGGAATATTGTCCTCAAGGCTTTGTGGGCCAGGATGTCAGCACATTTTTTTATGCCATTTTTGTGGTAAAATTAGATGCTTTGGCTGATAACACCATTTTCTTACTGATAACACCATTTGATATTTTTCTAAGACTTAATTTATTTACCCACATTTCCGACAATAGACTTACAGAATTCCCAGTCTTTGTTCTTTAAATATGCTGTGACGATTGCTTTTGTGCCAAAGTGTCCATTCACGTTTCAGATTCTTTAGGTGGGGCTACGTTTCAAAAGATGACATTAAGTTAATACTTAACTGCCAGCTAATTTTCTAGAAACGTGTATTAGTTTATACTCCCGCTGGTAGTGTAGTCCAGTGCCCTCCCAATCCTTATTACATTGATTTTTCAAAATGGCTATTTATGGCATTGCTGATTTTCTTAAAAGCACTAACTCTGAGCCCCTCTTTTAGGAAGTAGAAATGATGAAAGCTGCTTATCGGAAAGAACTAGAAAAAAACAGAAGCCACGTTCTCCAGCAGACTCAGAGGCTTGATACTTCTCAAAAACGAATTTTGGAACTGGAATCTCATTTGGCCAAGAAAGACCACCTTCTTTTGGAGCAGAAGAAATACTTAGAGGATGTCAAACTCCAAGCCAGGTAACTTTCACTGGGAAAGGTTTGGCAGTGGAGTGTTTTCTTCATTAAGAGAAACTTCCCATATCTTGGGGGGGTCTTTATCTTGCAGAGAACAGCTGAAAGCCGCTGAGAGCAGGTATGAGGCCCAGAAAAGGATTACTCAAGTATTTGAATCGGAGATCTTAGATTTATATGGCAGGTTGGAGAAAGATGATCTTCTGAAAAAGCTTGAAGAAGAAAAAACAGAAGCAGCTGAAGCCATAGAAGAAAGGTAGGAACCCAGAGTTGCCGCCTCCACTGTGGTCTAACCACCACTGACAGCACCAGGGCGTTTGTCTTTGAAGCAATCATGGCTCGATGAGAGAACTGCAGCCCTCACTCAGTACCTTCCATTTCCAAGAGCCACACGTAGCCAACCTTTTCACCAGCTGCCCAGGGATTTCTCCTTCTCCTTTTCCCCTGACCCTAAATCACTTAGTAAGATGCCAAGAAGCAGTCACATTTAAGATTCCCACTCACTTTCTCTAGTTGTGCCATTATGTTTGTCTGGCTGTCTGCTGCTTGACTTCTCTATGAGATGGAATGGGCTGCCAGAGGTCAGGGTCAGCATGAATGTCTTCCAGATGTGGGTGCTGCAATTACCGGTGCATTTTTTCCTCCCTGGATTTCTTATAGGCTTGACTGTTGTAATGATGGCTGCTCGGATTCAGGAGTGGGGCACAACGAGGCGACATATGGCCACAACGGTGAGACCAAAATCGCCAGACCTGGCAGCACCCGAGGAAGTAGAGGAGGCGGAGGAAGCAGCAGCAGCAGCAGTGAGATTTCTACCCCAGAGAAACCCCCCAACCAGAGGGCAGGCCCATTCAGCATTCGGTGGGAAACCATGGGCGAGCCCTCCACCAGCATCCCTATGACTGTTGGTTCACTTCCCAGTTCAAAAAGCTTCCTGGGCAGGAAGGCTCGAGAGTTATTTCGTAATAAGAGCGAGAGCCAATGTGATGAGGACGGCATGACCATCAGTAGCCTTTCTGAGACCCTAAAGACGGAACTGGGCAAAGACTCAGGTGTGGAAGCCAAGACTCCCCTGAACCTAGATGGCCCGCACTCATCTCCCCCAAACCCGGACAGTGTTGGAAAGCTTCAGATCATGGACTACAATGAGACTCATCATGAACACAGCTAAGGATGATGGCCGATCAGTGTTAACTTTCACGTGTTGGCATAGAACAGGTGGTGTGAATGCACGTTTCAAAGCTTTCCTGTTTCCAGGGTCTGAGTGGCTAGCTCATGCAGTGGAAATGGGATGGAGGTCCTTTCAACAATTGGCTTAGTGGCAGAACTGTTTTTGGATCTGGCATTGAAATGCCCCGTAACCTTTCCCTTGAGTCACCCTCGGGCCTCTTTTTTCACACCTAGCAGTGTACTAATCCCAGGGCCGGTTTGTGTTCCTCAGTAGCTTTAACCCCTCCCCCCCCTACGACCACCAAAAAAGAATGGTTGCGTCCTTTGAACCTGTGCAATATGAGGCCAAATTTCATCTTTGAGTCTAACACACCACTTTCTGCTTTCCTGAAGTTCAGACATCTTGGTTGGCTCTGTTAGACCAGGTAATTGGTGGCATTGCAGGTAAGTCTGGTTTGTTCCTTTCCAGGAGGTAGTCTGCAAAGCTATCTGCTCATGGAAGCTTTAATGTGAGACTCCCAGTGATTTTTGGTTCTGAAGTCTAGCATCTAAAGCAGCAGTTCTAGAAAAACAATGGTTGTTTTGTTTTTTTTGTTTTTCTTTCCCACCCTTAGAAGCTTCCTAGAACGCTCCCAGTGAACAGACAGCTGCTGTTTCACAAATCTAGACTGGGCCCAGTGGAGACCACATTTACTTGACATTTGAGAAAGCCCTACCCAACCTTTCTGCCATGTCTCTTCCCCACCCCACCCCCTGTATTTATTTGGTGTGTATGAAACCTGGTACTGTTCTGACCACAGGCTAGCAGTGTGGGTAGGTGGAGCCTGTTTTCAGCAGGAGAGAAGAATTGGTGACTGAAAAGTTACCCAGGAAGCACTTGTATAAGAATAACTGCATCTGTAAGCAGGTCTTGTGCTAGCTGAGCCCTCTGACTAACCCCCTCTCTGTCGCCTTCCCCCGCTTTGTGTTCATACTTGCCCTCATCTTTGTGAGCTGCTTGGCTAACGCAGCAGCAGAAAGGCACAGATGTTCCAAAGAGTTTCCTCACTGTTTTTGTTGTGACCATTGTTTCTCAGGCTGCTAGAGTTGCCTCACTCTAGTAGGTTCTAAGCCACCAAAAAAGTAACAGCCTTTTCATACCAATTCTAACTTTCAGGGGCCTGTGATCCAGGGAGCTTATTAGTGTTGTTAAACTCCCATGTGGAAGTATCAGCAGATCATTGAATTCTGGGAGAAGGCTAACAAAGACTGGCTTCTTCCAGGGAGCTCACCAGGGTGCCCACACACACTCAGGAGAAGGGGCACTAGTCAGAATCCTGATGGCAGAGAACCCAAACTGAACAAATGCTCCTGAAATAAATGCTAGAAGCCTAAGAAGTGTTGCTTGGTGTTACAGCGGAGGCAAGGAGAAGGTGGGGTAGAAGAGAACTAGTAAATGAACTAGGTTTTCCTTTTTCTCCTCTTTCTACGGGAAGAATAGACAAGGGTCAGCCATGAAATGGACAAACACAAATCTAATGGTACGAAGTCTTGCTGCATAGGGAAGCTTTTACCATGTGAGCGTAAAGTGGGTTTTTTGTTTTTTATTTTTAAAGTGGGGCAATACATATTCTAGCATCCCTAACCAAAGGGAGTTGGATAAAACTAGGAACTCCAGTTCACCATGCCTATGCTGGCAGACCTGCTCCGGATGTCATTTTGGGTGTGACCAAGTGGCTCCCAGGCACTACCACTAGGTGGCCCAATGTGAAGTAGTCATGATGCCACACGTTTCATTCCACTTTGTCCACAGGGAAGCTTAAAATTCTGTATGTGTCATTTCACAGTTCAGTTTTAGAAAAGAAAATCACAAACAAATTCAAGGAGAAAATGGTTTAGGATAACTATTACAATTGGTCTTAAATGCTTTCCCACTCTACCACAGATCAAAGGTAAGAGGCATTAAGTCAAACCTTTCCTCTTAACTGGTCAAGGAAAGGAGTCCAGTGTAAGAAAGGAGAACAACCTAACACCACTTCTTTTCTGATGTGGGCAGACTTTCAAGACACAGGGAAGGAAGGAGCTCATGGTAAGGTGGAATGAGAGCAGGGGCTAGGCTGGAAGTCCCTGGGCAGGACAGGACCCTGCACAGATGTCTGTTCAGCCGAAGTGTGTCTGCTCAGTTCTAAGACCAAGTTGATCACCACCTCAGCGCTTGTGAGTTCTAAAGGGTCCATGAGTTTAATTCAGCTAAGGTTGGGGAATTGAGACCTGCAGTCATGTAGAACTTAGCCAGCCTAAAAAGTTGGGCCTTTATGTGGTGAAAGAGTCGATAGGAAGGTTTTGTTTGTATGTTTCTTGGAAGTGATAAACCTGCCAAGGATCAGCGGATCACCTGATCATGCTACAGTGAGTTCCGTTTTCAGGATGGCAAGGTGATAGTGGAGGAACCACTCAGAGCCAGTGTAGGCCTGGGAACAGCCAGGGCAGAAGCAGAACTGTAAGTTCAGAGCTTGCCGTCTTGAACCTGCTCATGCAGTGTGGTGTTCGTACATGTTGGGAGTGGGAAGCCTCCACCCACAAATCACCAGGAGAAATCTTGATCACCTGAGAGCTGTTTGGCCAAGGTGTGGTACTTACTCTGATTCCCACCTAACACTAAGCAGGGTTCCCACAGACTTGGCGCAGATGGGAGCCTGCTGCTTGTACAGCATGACGGTTATTGAAAATGGAGCACTACGTATTACGGGGGGTGGGGGTGGGGGCTCGACTGGAGCCAGGGAGTGCGGAGGGGAACAGAAACATGGTAGCTTGGTCTCCACAGAGAACATGCTTTCTGATTCTTTGGCTAGAAAATGAGCACATGGACCTCTGGCAGATACCACTTTTCAGATGATTAAAATGCCTCTGACAGGGTTCTGCCGTGGAGACTATACAGGAATGTCATTATGGGATTGGAAGAGAGAGCTGTCTTAAATAAGAAAACTGACTTAAAACCAAAGGTAGGAGAATGAGGTACTTTGGGAATCGAGGTGTTTTCTAGGTAAATACTAGAAGCCAATCTTACTCAATAGGTGGGTATACGTTGACCTCTGTCGGTGTATTGGCATTCGTTTTGTTTTTTTCGAAGAAGAAACAGCCTGACCTCTGGGAGTATGCTGCAGAGGGTCTGTTTTAGGCCATGTGAGTGGGAAGAGTCGTAAGATACTTCCTTGTGAACCAGAGTATATGTTTAGAGAGAAAACGTCCAAACTAAAAGTGTAAGCTGTTACAATCCAAGAGAAGGTTCTGGAAACCACTGACAATTAGAAAAAGGTAGCCCACCATGTTGCTGTGGCCACTTTGTATAGCACAACGAGAGCCAGTCCCAGCTGCAACCCCACGTGCAGTTTTTTGTCAAGAAAGATGTGTTGGCAGTTGGTCCTTGGCAGAATGGAACTATCCCAGGGATCATGAGGTGCGCCACAGGTGCAGACTAGGCGCTCAAATCAGGTATGCGTCTCTGTCTGGAGGATATGATGAAATGTGCTAGGACTAGCCAGTGTGAATTTGCACCAGATACTGGAACGAACCACTTGATGCCAGAGAGAGCTGACCGAAGAACACACGGCACATACAACGCAAAGGAATAAACAGGTCCCGTTTGAGAGGTGGCTCAGGCTGACCAACCCTGTGACTCAGTGTAGGAAGGCTAGAGTGAAGGCTCCCGCTTTCTCCCCACCGTGGTCCTGGGGGGGAGAAGCACAGGCTCACCCAGCAGTGTGTGTCTCACTTGGGGAAGAGAGCTGCTGTGTGGACTGCTCCAGGTTCACACACCTGCCTCCACTGCGTCTGTCACTCCTGGGGGCCCATGCTCTGAAAGGGACCTGCAACTCTGTGTGTACTGAGAGATCCATGCAGACAGAAGGGGGACTGGTGCATCTGTTTACATCCAGAGTTTCATGACATACTGCCGCCCTTGCCCCCCACCACTATCAAGTATTTGATTGCACTTGGTTATGCTTCTCCCTGTAGGGAAAAGAACAGGTTTTCGTTGGAGGCTTGGCCTTGGGCTGCTGCTGTGACAGTGTCCCAATGCGGCCGATTCCCTGCCCACTGAGTGCGATGTGCATCAGAGGCGGGCGCCGTCTTCTCCGTAGCCACCTGCAGTCTGTGCACGCTCAGCTGAAGGAAGCGTGACTGGGGAAACCTGACAGGCTAGTTGAACATCGATGCCCACAACTGCTTTTGGCATTGAAATCAGTTCATGAAGGCAGAGGATCTTCCTTCCCCTACTTCCCAGTGGACTATAGCAGAGTGTGCTATGCTGTAAACTCACCTGTTCTCTGGGAGAACTATGCTGCTTTTAAGCCATTGAGATAGATGGTGTAGAGGAGGCTCCCGAAGAGTTTTGACAGCCCGCAGACCTACCCCCGCCTCCTTCCGCTCCCCCTCTGATACAGTGTTTGGACAGGAGCGTCCGGTGCTGCTCTGTGTAGCAAAGGGGCAGCCAGGCTTTTTGCACTAGAAAGAATCAGTGATCACTTTCCTGACGACTTTATGGACCACAGATCTATTATGGAGGAACAGATTATGCTAAAACTTGATCTAGTTTTATAACTCAATCATGGATCAAACACACGTAACTAACGTGCAGTATAAAGGGAGCCCATAATGAAAATAGATTTTGTAAAACGGACTGCTTTTAGCTAAATTGAGGAAAGTCACTTCTTGTCAAAAGGTTTAACGTTGCCACCTTGATCTTAAAAGCATGTCAAACAATCCCCATGAGCCCCAGACTCTGCCATACAGATGGACTGCCAGGGAGACTGGTACAATCTAAGTGAACAGGAATCGGAATCAGAGGGCTTGCTGTCCTTAGAATGTTCTAAAATGTCAAGGCAGTTGCTTGTGTTTAACTGTGAACAAATAAAAATTTATTGTTTTGCACTACTCTGCTGTGTTGGAATGAAATGACTTAAGTGTTTGGACACTTACTCTAAAGTTGTAAGCACCAGAGATCTGGATTGGTGCAGTGGGTGGGTGGGTTTTGGTGTTAGCCTCACCAAGGCCATTTTTGTTCTGGCAAATCATCTGGTGAACAGCAAGAACAATTCTTCCCTGTATCTGCCTCAGACCTATGCTCTTCCAGCAGGGTTGTGTGGGAGGGAGTGACTTGAGTCATCTACTAGAGAAGCCCTCAAAACCACGCTCACCCGCCTTGATTTCTATGCCTGCTTGAAGTTCTAGGAGTGTGTCTTGTTGGTTTTGCTGTAGCCCTTCTAGGAGAACTCTGACCAGCATTTAAATTGCCAAGATTTCATTAACCCTTGAGCTTTGCAAGCTGCATTGTGTAGGTGTGCCAAGGGAAAGGGAACAGGCAGGAGAGCCAGCACCTTACACTTGCATCCCTTTGCTCCACCCTGGTGTTAAGTCCTTGGCCAAGGACTGGATAGGGAACTCTTGCAGACAAGTCAGTGTGTGATAGACTGCCTCTGCCTGCTTGCCTCTTAAGATCAGCCTTGCTGTGCCATTTGAGCAGCGGAAGTGGTTCTTCCCAGACCACGGTGATAAAGACCCAGAAGTGGCAGTTTTTAACTTGTCTGGAAAATGCAGGTTTTGTCTCTTACGATACCTGCCACCAGAGGAGGACTTGTGTAAATGCCGGCTGCCACTGGATCATTGGCAAGAGCCTCGTGGAAGCCCCCTCTTTGGGGAGCTGGCATGTATCTGTCTGTGCAGTGTCTCTGCTTACTGGGACTTTGGCTTGTGTGGGTATCACCTGGTGCCCTCTTATGTCTTAGGGTGCATGTGGACTTTCTTGAAGGATAAGTCCCAGGAAGTCAAGCTAGGCAATGAGGTGGTAGAACACTTTTTATTCTTGACTGTTTACCCCCGAGGAAGCAAGAATACAGAAGCTAAGTCGTCCCCTGTGAAGGGAAAAACCAACAGTCAGATAGTACTTCCGGCAAGCTGTGCAGCTAGAGACATTTTACAGTGTTTGGGCCTTGGCTGTGTTGTGATAACCAGGTCGTCTTCCTTGTCCAAGGGCCACAAGCTCAGAATCTGTCTGACTTCTATCATACCTCTCCCTTCCCCAAGGAAAGGGAAAGGTGGGTCTACTCTCTCTGTGGCTTTGAGCCAGAGAACCAAACATGCATAGGCTGTTTCAACACGCCAGACTTTAAAACAGCTCCCACCCATGAGGTGGGAACACCCGCTTTCCCAAGAGAAGCTGGGTAGTCTTCTCCAACTTGGTTACTCAGCTAGAGCCCACTGCCAGGGCAGGCCTGGCACAGGGAGGGTCTAGCAAGGACCTGCCCTTACTCTGTTTGTTACCCTTCCTGAGACCCTCTATCAACAACACACTGTCCTGGCAACTGGTGTGAGTGGGACTCCTCTTCCATAAGCCCAGAGCCTGACCTCTAGAGTCAAGGGAAAGTTAGAAGCAAGTGAAGACAGGAGAGAGAGATTCTCAGGGGTGTGTGTTGCCAGTCCCTCTGGGGGTTACTATGTGGCAGGGCCTAGTACCAATGAAAAGGGACGGCCCCTGGGTACCCAGTGAAAGAATGGAGCCCCCAACCTTACTCAGTAGGTCACTTGCTTTGGTTTATAGTTTCCCACCAGGTGGTCTCCAGGGAGGTTTTAAACATCCTTTGTCTTTCAGACTAGGTTTGAGGCTGCGCTTTAGAAGTCCCCTAAGTTGCTTTGTTTGTAACTGCGTCTGGGTGTCTGTGGTTTGGTGAGGACAGGTGGCCTCCTCCATGGTGGTAGTGGTGGAGGAGGAGGAGTCGTCGTTGTTCGCCTGGGGGTCACTCACTTGCTGCAGCACTTTGCGAGGCAGCTTCTCTGAGTGGGCGATCCATTCTTTCATTAAGTCTAAGACTAAGGGGATGAGACTGACCACGCCGCCGTAGTGGTTCCTGGCCTCGTCGCAGCTGAGGTGGTTCACCACGTCGTGAGGATACCTGTAGCACAGCGAGAGAGGCCCCTGTCTGCCACCAATGCCAGGACCTGCCAACTGACAGACCAGGGCAGGGGCCTGTGATCCCGACTCTACCTCAGAATCATCAGGGGGAGGTTTTAACACTGAGGACCGTGCTGGGGGTCTATTCCCGAGGCTTGGGGGCCACAAGCCCAGGCCATGCTGGTATGAAAGGGCTGGGTTGAGAACCACTGACAGGGGTTTTAGAAGCCTAGTGAGGGGTTGAAACCCACTGTGCTCCTTAGCTATGGTGACTCTCCTGATGCCAACATCTGAAGAGCTTCCTGAGCATTGTCATCTGGACCCTTCAAAACCTGTTCCCTCCTCCAGGCCCTGCCTCTCCTACTTGAATCGCCATACATGCTGAGGCCTCCAGAGCAGGACATGGGGGACTTACTTGGCTCTGAGGCTGCTTAGGTCGTTGCTTTGGCTAACAAGGGTCTTGCATTTCTCTAGGAGGTTGTTGGTGACCGGGGTGCCAGAGTGCAGGGCTTCAAAGTGCTGGGAGAGCTTGCTCAGCTCGGTACAGATGTCCAGGAACATGAGCAGAATCCGCCGGTCCGTGGAGTTGTTGCAGTAGTGTTCCATGTAGCTCTGCACCTGCAGAGGCCACGTGGTGTGAATTGCGGCCACACCAACAGGCAAACGTCCGGGAGCATCCACCCTGCACCCTCTCAGATTAGGAGGGAAGGGAACTGCCTGTCACTTGCAAGCATTGTAACATAAACTCACTGCCATCAAGATGATTCTGACTCATAGTGACCCTGTACGACAGCGGAGTCCTTCCCCTGTGGATTTCTGACACTAACTCTTTATGGGAGCAGAAAGCCCCCTCCTTCTCCTGAGGAGTGGCTAGTGGTTTTGAACTGCTGACCTTGTAGGTAGTAGCCCAAAACGTAACCCACTATACCGTAACATCATCAAGCGTCCTAGCCACTGGGTGAAGTGCTTTTCTCTCTCACCAGAACCCTTTTTTACTTGCATTCTAAAGATGAATAAGCAGAGGCTAAAAGAGGTGAAATACCCTGCCGGACAGAAGTAGCCGAGTTACACCCCCGGGCTCTGGCTCACAGCCTAGGTCGCTCTCCCAGGCCCCACACAGTGTAAGCAAACTAAAGCAGAGGGACCCGGTTCCCAGACTTTTCAACAATAGGCCCACTTAGAGGACCCACTCAAGAACTGGGCACGTAAAAGAGAGGGGGGTTGTCCTCAATCTGTCAGCATGGTGTTAGGAAGTAGGAGAGACACAGACAGGCAGGAATCCAACCAAGTTCCTGGGAAGTCCCACTGCAGCTGCAGGGCAGTGCAGCACCCAGGGCTACAGGTAAGAAAGTGTCTCCCCCCACCCCACCCCCAAGACCTTTGGGGGAGAGGGGCTCTGCTGACACCACGCTGAATTTGGAGCACTGGCCTCTAGAACTGGGAAGCCACACCTGCCTGTTGTTTAAAATGTGAGGGGTCTTGTTAGAGCAAGCGACCTTAAGAAACCAGTGCATGTCTCTGGACTTCTTTCAAGGGAGGGGCCCGGGCTTGGATTCTCAGGATCTGGCAGGCCCTCGGTGTGCCCTAGCCCCAGCCCCCTCGGGGAGGCCCCACCTGCCCAATGCTGCTGATGGGCCGGATCTTGTCATGGGCGTTCTCCCTGCAGTGCTCCAGCGCGGCGATGAAGGTGAACTGCTGCTGCTGGAAGAGCTTGTACGTCTGCTCGATGTTGCGCAGGGATTCCTTCACCTCATTCATTGTCTTCCTCGGGTGGGGGGCGCGGCACTGATGAGAGGGCAGCAACCTCTGGGGAGAGAGGAGGAGAGCTGTGAGGACCCAGGCCAGGGGTCAGGGAGGAGGACGATGACCCCCCTCTGCTGAGTGCTGGGGTCAGTCTCACCCCCAATTTTCAGAGATGAGAAGGAGGTGGTGGGAGGCCACACCATTTGACGAGGTCCTTGGGAGTTACCCGCTGACCTTGACCCATGTACCCACCAAGGACATGCTTGTGCCACGAAATGAGATGCTCTTTCCTCAGCTGTGGACACAGTTTCTCTCTCGACTCCCCAGTTTCCACAGACTGTGGGTAGCTACACACACACTCCAATCTTTCCTCCTGGTGTCAGCAACACCTGGGACCAAGGAATGTGCCACCGGATGCCAAAGCAGCATACGAGCAGTTTGGACCAAATGATTGGAAACCCTCTGCCCTTGGTGGGGAAGTCTAGGAATTCTTCCTTTCCCAGTGAGCTGAGGGGGCAGAGAGAAAAGTCAGCACTTGACTGTCCTGTTTGAGATCCGAGTTTCCCTGCTCTGCTTGGAGCAGGGACCTAAGATCTCCAGCGTGTAGAATCCCAGGGCAAGGGTTCGGCCTCCCATCTTAACTGTGGCCTAGGTCGTGCCGGGTTCTCCCTTCTCTCTGCTCATCCCTTACACATGGTGCCCGGTGATTCAGTCCACAATGCACCTTGCATCCTCACGAGCCGAGGCAGAGAAAGAGCTGCGGGCTTGGCCTGCTCCATGTTGCAATTGTGTTGAATGCGTCCAAAACTCTCCACATGGACTATACGGAATGTAAGACGGGAGAGACCTCTGCAGATCCACTCCCTGGAGGTTTATAGTGGGGTTGAGGGGAAACTGAGGCCCAGAGAGAACAAGCCCAGGGTGCCACAGCCAGTTTGTGCAGGAGACAACCTAGTTCCCATGCTTTCTGACATCTAAACCACTGGCCCCACTGTTCCTACCCCTCCACCACCACGAAAGCCCAGCACAAAGGAGCCGGGTCTGACTGCACCAGGCAAGCAGTCCAAGCGAGATGGGGGAAGGTCCCCTGACACTTGGCAAGGTTGGCACTGGGCAAGGACACCGGCCAGGCTTCCAGGCAGCTCCCAGGTGAAGAGGATTTCAAGTAGGACAGAGTTGGAGGCATTGCTGCAAGGTCCCCCTCGGCACTCTGCGCTCTGAGCAGGGCTGGAGCCAGAGTTGGGGGGCTATGTGGTAAAGAGGGCGGCCATCAGAGGCAGGAAAGGAAACAGCCTCCCCGAAATGACAGGGCTTGGGTGGGCTTGGGACAAGCCCCCGGAGCCACAGTGCTGGGTTGCAAGCCGAATCGCAACAAGGTTGCCATAAAGGAGCTGCACCCAGAGGGACCTTGACATTCGCACCCATAAACCTGAGCGGGTCTACTGTAACTACAATGGGCTGGGTCCGGCAGCAGCCCTAGGAGGCGACCTTTGGGAGCCATAACGCCTGTGTTTGTCAGCAGACAAGGGCAGCTGCAACATTGCTGTGGGGGGTGGGGTCGGGGCGGTGTCTTGGGTGAGCCAGCCTCCTTGCAGCTCAGCCTCCTGGGCACTCAGCTCCCCACCCCAAGTGGGCAAGCAGGGACGGGGGAGCTGGGCTGCAGTGGAGGGGTAGTGGGAGGGACAGCAGCAGCTATACCTGGGCTGGGCCCCTCACTCTTCTATTGTCCCTCCCCTGGTGGCAGCCAGAGCCCAGTGTCCCTCACCACAAAATTTAAAGACAAAAAAACCCCTATACACTGGGCACCACTATTTTCTTCACAAAGACAGACAAGAAAACTGAAGGCATACATGCAGCAAGGAGAGGAGCCAGAATGTTCCACTCAGCTCAGCCTGACTTTGTAATTTGGGCACTTCCCTCTTTCTCTGACGATCCTTAAAGAACAACCAAGCCAGACATCAGATTTACTGGGGCAGGGCCAGGGGAGGGAGAGATACCAAGGCCTGAAAAAGATGTCCAGCCCATCCTAGACGTCATCTACAAGCTACAGCCATCACTGCCATCAAGTTGCTGCGGACTCATAGTGACCCTGTAGGACAGGGCAGAACTGCCCCCGTGGGTCTCCAAGAGAGTAAGTCTTTACTACATGGATGCACAGCCTCATCTTTCTCCTGAGGAGCGGCTGGTGGTTTTCAAACCGTTGACCTTGCATAACACCACAGCACCACCATGGCTCCTTACAGCCCAGAGCTAGCTGTTCCCATTCCCCATCCCAAAGCGACCACAACCAGTGTTTGCTGGGTTGCCCTTCCCTGCCTCATTCCCTGCTACCCTTTGGGGGCTTCCTGGGGCTGCCAGGTTCCCCAGGGACAGAGCCTTGGCTGGTGGCCTCAAGAGCCCCTGCAAGCAAAACTGACTTGGGTCTTGATCCTCGCCACTTGTGACATGCACTGCCAGGGGTGTCACGGGAGGAGCTGTCACAAGCTATCCAAAGTGAACGTGCCTTGAACGCGAGCCTCTGCAGCCAAATTCGTCTGGATGAGAGGCACCTCTCTATCTGGGCGAAGAGGTAAGGGAAAAAATGATTACCCAATAGGTTTCAGGCTTTAATTGATTTGTATTTTTCCAGGCTGCTACAGAAGATTAAATCGTGGTATGAAAAGTGCCTAGGGCTTAAAATAAATGAGAAAGGCAAGTCGTTTCAGACACGTCCAGGATGCAAACCTCTCCGGTGCAAATTGCAAGCTTGGTTGTTGGGTTCTTTGTTCAGGGGAGATGGCTGCTTTTCTTCCCCAGCTGCCTTTGCCGTTGAGTCTGACAAGCCTACCAAGGTGTGCACCCTTTGAAGAAGTGGTTTGCTGAGGGAGAGGCACGACTGCAGCCTTTTGCAGTTGGAGGGAGCATCTCCGGGCTGGTAGAAAAGGCTCTGGCCTTGGGCTCAGGGCCCTTGGCTCTAGCTCTGGGTCTGCCTCTTTGACCTCATGGTGACTCTGGCCAAGATTTCCCTGATTTCTGGGCATCGGTTTACGCGTCTAGGAAATAGGGAAGTTAGAGTAAAGCTTTTTCACAGGGCTTTCATATTCTGATGCTCCAAGAATAACAACTGATGAGGAATGAGGCCCAGGCAGGGGCAATGACTTGCCCAAAGTCACCCAGCCAACTCGTCCTCTGCACTTCTCTGATTCGCTAAATTTTTGGGTCAGTAATATGGGAATAAGGAAGACTGAAGAAGAATCAATGCATTTGAATGATAGGGCTGCCAAAAAAGTATTGAAAGTCCCACGGACTGCCAGTTCAGCCAGAATGCTCATCGGGAGCAAGGGCAGAGAAAGGACTTTGGCGCACATGCATTGGCCGTATTATCAGAGGAGACCAGTCCCCTGGAAAAGGACATTATGTTTGGGAAGGTAGGAAGACCCGCAACTAGATGGATGGACACACTGGCTGCAACAATGGGCTCAGGCAACAATTGTGGGGATGGTGCAGGCCCGACTGGGTTTCATCCTGTTGTACATAGGGTCACTGTGAGCTGGCCCAACTCGAAGGCACCTACTATTTCACAGGGCTGTTGCAAAGATTAAATTAAACGGCATTCCTCATGTATTATACGCTTACGATGTACCCCAACCCAAGCCACACCCATTGCCTCGAGTTATTCCAACTCACAGGACAGAGGGGAACTGCTCCCTGGGGTTCTGAAGCTGTAAAACTGCAGGGAAGCTGCACCCTCATTCTCCTTCAGTGGCTGGTGTGTTCCAGCCTTTGGTTAGCAGCCCCGCACACGTGACCCGACGTGCCAGCAGGGCCTTCCTTCCTACAGAACAGTTACTGTCTAAGACTGTGAAAATCCTCATTTCACAAGGAACACAGCGATTGAGCAGTTTATCAAAACTCACAGGAAAAGGTGGAACCAGGATCAGAACTGAAAAAAACCCAAACTCACTGCCACCCACTGCAAGCCTACAGGGCAGGGCAGAACTGCCCCCTGTGCGTTTCTGAGACTGTAATTCTTTATACACTGAGCGGCTAGTGGTTTCGAACTGCTGACCCTGAAGTTTAGCAGCCCAACGAGTAACAACTACACCACCCAGGGCTCCACAGAATTTGAACTAGGGACTGTCTACTGTGTAATGATTTTGCCATACACACTCCCTCTCCATTGTGAGCTGGGCACAAAGAAAGAGCTCAACAAATGGTAGCTGCTACTATTACTGGCCAAGGCCTGGTGGCGCTGTTCGGTAAGGGTGGGCTGCTAACTCAAGGGTTGGGGGTTCAAACTCACACCTGCTCTGGTAAAGATTTAGTCTCAGAAGCCCTATACAGTATAGGGTTGCTATGAATCCACCTGGTGGCAGTGGGCTTAGTTTAGTTGGTTTTTATTATTACCGGTCAGTGTTGCATCCACTACCAGGGTTCCCTGAATCCACAGGAAATTCACCAGTCCAGAGGGGCTCCTTTCTCCCCCAAAGCCCCGACCCGCCCGGCTCGGCTCCAGGGACAGCAGGGACACCTCCTTTCTGCTTCCAATCCTCTCCCCGTCACCCCTCACCTTTGTCCCCTAACTCCCAGTTGCGAATTCCAGGGCGCTCCTCGGGGCCCCCAGCACGCTTGAATCTTGCTTGCCCTGCTTGCAGCCTGCGCCTCCCAGTGCGTCCCGAAGCTGCAGTGACTCCTCCGGTGTTTGCGGCCCCAGAGGGGCGGACAGGTCTGTCCCAGGACTTGGGAGGTGGTGGCCGGGTGGAGGAGGCTGGGGAGCGCCAGGACGAGAGGGTGGGGCCGCGGCCGCGATTGTTACTGCGGGTGCCGTGGCAACCAGATCACGTGGCGCCCCGGCCCCACCCTTGGGAGCCCGCGGGGAGGGCAGCTGGGGCTCGGCGGCTGGAGGCTCCGTTTCGGCTCGGGCTGCCGGCCGGAGCCCTGGGCCTCCGCCTGCCCCATGGAGACACCTCCCTCTTCCAGTATCTCCCCGCCCCCCACCTCTGATCCAGCATCTTGGGGTTACAGACCCGCAAACAGCGCTCAGGCTCCGGCCAGGGCGCGTGGCGGAATCGGAAGCAGGATCCGCCTCCCACTCCGTGGGTTGGGGGCCGGGAAGTGCTGACTCGCCTCTCGGAGGGGTCGCCGGGCACCCCTTGTTCGAGGAGCCGAAGCGTGGCCCCCGCTAAGACGCACAGTTAGAAAACCGAGGCCAGAAGAGGGAAGCGACCTTGGCCAGCGCCGCCGAGCGCTCTGCTGGAGGGATTCGGGGTGGCGGCGGCGGGCCGAGGGCCAGGAAGGCGCCGGGGACCCACGGGGGCTCCCAGAGCCTCGCGGGGCGGGGCCTGGCGCGTGGTGATGACGCACGCGCTCTGCGCGGCGGCCGTAGCAACGGCGGTTACTAGGGAGCGGAGCCGGGCGCACCGGCAGCATGGACGCGACCACGGCCCCGCATCGTATCCCCCCGGAAATGCCCGAGTACGGGGAGACGAAACACATCTTCGAGATGATGCAGGTGACTCGGGCGAGCCTGCCCTGTCGCGACACAAACGTGGCCGCGGGGGAGCCCTTGTCGCCATGTCGGGGTGCACGGTGGCTTCTTCCTCTCAGGCAGGGGCCAAGGCCCGTGCCATCGGTGTGAGCCACAAGACTTAACGACTTGAGGTGTCTGGTTCTTATAGGGCCACCCCTGGAGTTATCCTTACATCCGAAGAAGCCCCGTGTCCCGCCCGGGTTGGCGCCCTTGGGTCCCAGGAAGGAGTCCAGGAGACAGGCCGGCCTGTCAGGATTAGGGCTGGGCTCTGCCATTGGCTGTCTTTGTGTTCTGCAATTTAACCCGCTCCCTCCTCGAGTCCGAGTCCGCAGCTTCCCATCCGTGAACAAGCCTTTGAGCCAGGGCTGCCCCGGTCAGGTGGCTGCCACTAGGGACAAAAGATGAATGGTTTAGGCAGCAGCATTTCCCACCCTACTCCACTCATCAGGGCCAGGGGTTGGGGGCAGCTCGCTCTCTCTCTCAATAATTTTATTGGGGGCTAATACAACTCATCACAATCCATCCATCCATCCATTGTGTCAAGCACATTTGTACATTTGTTG